ATGAACATGATTTATACAATCCTCATCTGCATGCGGAAGCCACAGCAACTTTGTTGCATCGTTTTCAGACCTCAGCTAGAATAATGGGACAGGAGGGAGGCCATTTTAGGCCGTGTCTGATGAAATTTGTGGTGTTGCTTGAAGTATGCAGGATTGGAATAACAAAGATCTAAGTTGTCATGAGCCCCAGAGCCACATTTTCTCCATCATCATGTTTTTGTCCAAGAAGTTCTTTGTCAAAGAGGCTGTTTCCCATTACATCCTCCAGCACTCGCTAATTTCCTTAAGTATGCAACCAGACAGTGTAAGCAAAAGTTTCAGTTTTGGAACCATTTGTTTCAAAACCTTGCCAAGTAAGCTATCAATCTTCTGTGTTCTATAGTCCCCTTTCTTACTGTTATAATCCTCTTTTACTACCCACTGGCAGTTCTTATGGCATATGATGAAGGGAAGAGCCTGATAGGATACATAGTCTGCTCTGATTTCAAGAGTCACTATGACTTTGCAAAGACTGCCCTCAGTCAGTGTGTAAGCATGTCTTCTCCATTTATCCATTTTAAAGAAGCCAAGAACATGCCTAATAGTTGTGTAAGAACCTAGAGTTACACTCATTTTGTCTTCTGGTAGAGACTTCTCTTACAATTCTGACTGCATTTTTCCTGCATATTTGTGTTTAATGACCATCCTATTTGTTTCCCTACAGAGATACATAACAGTCTTGTAGGTTTGCTCCTGGCATTTTTCAAACTGCCTCTAAGTTCAGAAAGGAGAAACTAGTTAGATGGGGTCTCTTGGATATGTTTAGCTCTGTTCTGAAAAGTATTTAGAGCATAATCATTTAGGAGTCCAGTGAGCAGTGTCACTTGTGGACTGATGTATGCCGAACAAAAGGAGTCCCATTTAGGTTTCCTTAAGATATGCATAATCTGTTGGTATGAATATATTTTCCTTCTTTTTGCCCTCTATTTCTGTGAGTTTTCTTTGTACTGATTTCATTCAAGTTTCCAGGCCTGATGCAACGAGGTTCTTGATGTCTCCAATTCCTAATAAGTCAGTGGGAGTTAAAGGCCTAATAATGCATCCAGCTATCCAGAACAGCTGCAACACACACGGTCAGTGGCAGCTTCTGCTTATGCAGCTGCAGTAGCAGCTGGTTTTTTTCCATACCCCAAGGCAGGTTCCTGGGATGGTGCCAAAGTCGCCCTGACCCACTGATGGCAGTTGAAGCTATTCGCTACCTTGAAGGAACAGGCCTTTTTTGGCTCTTCTCCTTTTGACTGCAGAGGGAAGGGGGTAGCTGTTGCACATGAAAGTTTCAAATTGTTGTTTTGAGACTAAGGGTATGGACAGATGTGGGGAAGAAAATGTGCTCTAATGGAAGCTGTGCTCATTAGTTGACCTGGCTCTGCAGCGTCAGTATAGATTGGGCACTTCAGCAGGGCTTTTTGGTGCTTTCAGCTAAAGCTGATTCAGTTGGCTATTAGATAAAAATGCTAAAAAAAACCCCACTAAAACGCTCAATCTCTACAGACATGGGGAAAGCTGGGTACAATTAACACGCTGCCTCTTCTGGGTATATGCTGGGCTTGGCATGGGACGCGCCAACTTTAAAGTAAAGCATCGTTTTGGGTTTTTTTCCCATGTCTGCAAGCAGCCGCAGTGAGCAACTGCTCTGACCAGTTAATGAAGATACTCCTTCAGTTTGATACGAGATATTTTGAATTTTAAAATAAATATTTTATGGTAAGATAAAGAAAATAATCAGCTATTAAATATATCTGACATTAAAGAAAGGTAACAGTGCTAGGAATGTCAGATTGATCTCTGGCTCATTATGAGAATTAGTAAAATAGCCATGTGTAATGAGATTTTTTTGTTCTTTTACAAATTACAGTAAAAGGGAACATGGGTTACAAATCCTGGGTCTGGTTCTGTTTTAGTTACACCATTCAAAATCTGTTGACTGAATTGAAGCTAAGACTAATGTACATTTTTACAAAAGGAAGAGAATTTGCCAGTCACTTCCTTTTTTTTTTCCCCATGTCCTTACTTTATTACTCAGTAGTAACATCTTATATTTTTAAATATCTAAGTTTCTTTCTAAGAAAAACATTTTCCAACTATTTAGTTGGTCTAATAAAAGATGCAATATTCACCCAAAGAATCTTGTCTGCCTATGTCCTTAGACCAACATGGCTACAACCTACACCCCTGCAAGTTTTTCTGTTACATATGTTGCTAACTTTTTATATTTGCATCATCTTGGAAAAGGAAATGACCTAGCTAGTTTGGGTTTTTGTTTTGGATTTTGGGGGTTTTATGTCATGTTTTTAGTGAATTATACTTTCAGATTTTCATGCACTAGGTCAGTATTGCAAACATGTAAATTTGTGAGCAGCTAAAACGTGCTAATTTGCCATTTCTTAACAATAGCAATCCAACATATAAAAACAAAAGACTTCAAGTGGTGTTCAAATATAAAATCTTTTAATGATTATTTACTTTTAATGATGACAAATTATCATAGTAGATGACAAATTATAGTACATTTTCTATCCAAAACTGTTTTTATGGAGACTGTAGATAAGTGTGTTCTTGTATTTTGACATTGTTCTACTTTCTTTATGCTGGGGGCATGTGTACGCTTTACTATGGAGTTGACTAATTAGCTCCACAGTAAAGCATTACTGCGTACACGTGCAATGCTTTTAGATCGAAATAAACTAATAAACTCCGTCATAAGATAGTACTGCCCAACACAAGTGCTATCCTACAGCGGAGTTATTTAGTGCACTGCAACTCACGTGTAGACAGTGACTGGGGTTGGCTGGGGCATGAGGGTGCTACAGTGCAGGGGCTGCCTGCCAGCTAGCCCCCGCACTGTAGCACCTTTGTGCTCCAGTCAGCTCCTTTGCGACACATTGAGCCAAGGCAAAGCAGCTCTGGCCTGGAAGGCTGACCCTCCCAGGGCCCTTGCTAGCCAGGGCTGCTCCAACCCAGTTCAACATGCTACAGTCCTGGGCATGCGTGTAAATGCTGCACCCAGGAGCAATAAACTCCAATGGAAACTGTGCCAGAATTTATTCAGACACACTAATTACACATGTAGATACACCCACTGTATATATAATTAACTATTTGATTTCAACTACAATAACATGTTTGCTAATTTAAGGTTTCCTAATATGACAGTTTGTCCACAAAAGAGGCAGTATGGTAACTTCAATTCCTTTGGCTACAGATTATTTTCTTGCTGTTGCTAATATGAATGTGGGGCAGGCATCATGGGAAAACAAAAACTTGGAACATTTATAAAAAATGTCTCTTTTTGGCAGCTTTCAGTTTTCTTTGTTGTTTATATCTTAAAATGTTGCTTTCATATGTTTCCTGTTATTCTGCTCTGAAATAACTTCCTGAGATTTCTGAAGCACTCTTATTATAGGGTCTTTAAGCAACAGTTGAAAAATCATCTGGTAGGCAAAATCCTCAGGACCAGAACCTTCCCAAGTTGTTCTGACTTCCAGAAAACAATGGATTCCACCCCCCGCCCCATTCCGTTTTTGGTTCCAGACCATGTTAGCTTCTAAACACTAGATTACTATACACTTAAGATGTAGTATAGATTTAAGTTTTCTAAAATTTACTTTTTATACCCAACATAGAGACTTAATTTTTGAAGACAAACTTCTCTTAGTTTCCAGGAGACAAGTAGATATTTAATAAGTGAGAAAATAAAGTCTTACTTGTACTTGTTTTTGAAAGGTTTTATTTTCTCCTTTCATTAATGGCTGGCCATGACAAATTTCTTTCATCGGTGCCAGTGGAAGCTGCAAGAAGAAAGGGGTCCTTTTGTGTGTTATTTCCTACCTGTGCATCTCTTCCAAGCTTCCACTCATTATAGCAATCTCCATCTCTTTCATGTTGATTCATGTATCAGTCAAAATGCAATCTTTCAAATGAGCTGAAATTAAATATACATTGAAGTTTATCCTTCACTAGGATTTTTTCCACTTCTGACTAGCCCATTCTTAGCCTCCACTTGTCAGAGAAATGACTAGGGTGTGAAAAACAGGCCATATTCAATTCAGATTCAGCCCGAATTAGGGACAGTGATTCGATTCGTTGATTTGGATCACTGTCCCTAATTCGATTCAGCTGAATCTGAAGATTTGAAGCTGATGCAGACATAGACACAGCTTTAAATGTTTTTTCTACATACCTCGAGGTACCAGGTGCAACTCATTAACACTGCAAGGTGGGGCAGATGGAGTGTCCCACAGGAGTGCAGAGGGCCCCCTGCACACTTGGCAGCAGACCTGGAAGTGGACTGGAAGTACTTCCAGTCCACTTCTGGGTCCGCCACCAAGCATGCAGGGACCACCCCCACCTCCCCCAAGTCCCCTTCCGCCTCAGCGATTGGCCACGGGGGGGACCCCGGGTGCCCTCCCAGAACCAGGAGGCACCAGTCACCAAGCCTGGGGGCCCCCCCAGCACACTCCTTGGCAGACCCAGAAGCGCTTCTGGTCCACTTCCGGGTCTGCTGTTGAGCGCACTGGGGACCCCCCTGCACTTCTGTGGGATGCTCCATCCACCCCACCATCACAGCATTCACAAGCCACCTGGTACCTAGAGGTATGTAGAAAAAAACATTTAAAGATGTGTCTATATCCGAATCGCCGAATCTTTCCGAATCAATTCAGAAAGATTAAAGGGTCTCTTGATTTGATTCTGATTCAGAGATTCAGCCACCGAATCAGGCCAAATCTCTGCCAAATCGAATCGGGGACCAAAGCTTTGCATAGCCCTAGAAATTACATCTGCCTGTTTACTGCTCTAACCTTCCCACCCTTTTCACTTTGAAGACTTTCCATCCAAGAGCAATGTAGCTTCATTAACGTTTGTAGAAATCATAGCCTGAATCGCTCATAGCTTGAATTACCTGTATACATAAACTAAAACAAGTCTCTTATATTCATTAGTGTTTACTTGGCAGTGCTTCCTCTTGCTTTTCTCCTTTTTACATTTCACTTTACTTTGTCTGGGTGTATTGTACTACTCATCTGGCTACTATCCCAGACACTCTGGATGATATCAGTCTATTATGATGCCACTGGAGTATAAATACAACTGTAAACTGTAGGTCTGCCAAGCAAAATCATTTAATAAGCCTTATAATTTTATTTGAGAGGTGACTCTAAAGGATATATTCAACTGTTGGTGTCTGTGAATTTCCACATGTAATGTCCATTAATGTTAAGCTAATATTTAGCAAGTGCTTTAATATTGGGAACCACATGTTATAATGGAGATTCTCCCAGTTTTGAACCTACACTTATTTCTTCTTCTTGGTAACAATTGTGTTTATATGGAAAAATATGATGTCCACTGTCCTAATTTCTAGGTCACTTTGCAATGTGCAGTTTTGTTTGTTTTTACTACCCATGAGTTTGGTATCCTCTGCACATTTGATCATACAGAAGGGAAGCTATCACCATGGAGAGCTATGTAATTTGTATTTGGGGAGAGATATGCTATTTAATTTTTAACTCTGCTTAATAAAAAGGGTACTGTCAACACTAAGAGTGTTCAGAATACAAAGTACCTACTGTTTAAAAACTCCCTGGGCACTTGTACATGCAACAATGTCATGATGCTCACATGATGAAAATTTCCCTTTGTGTGGCTTAATGGCATTACACGTACAAAAGTTTTGGTGGTTTAAAATGAGTTTGTATTGTTGCAAACTAAACTACATCCCAGTGTAGTTTAGTTTGCAACATTGGAACTTGGAATGTTGTAGCCACTAGCTCGCCTCCTGGCCGCAGGAGAGGCAGGCAGGTTCCGCAGAAAGAAAGGATCAGGCCCCTCGCTGCTTCTGCCTTCAGCAGGCTCCTGCAGCCAGCAGGACACCTGGGGCTGCCCAGGAATGGGCTAGCTTGCTGCTGGGGCAGCATGGGGAGAGAGCAGGAAAGCAGCTGGGTGTGCTGGCGGCTAGAGAAGAGGACAGGAACGGGACATAGAGATACCTGGGTGGGCTGCTTGCTTCCTGGAGTCCACTCAGGCTTCCAGCACCCCATGCACCATCCCCGCCACTTTCTCTGGCCTCCAGCACACCCAGCTGCCCTTCTGCCACCTCCCTGCAGTGCCCCAGGGGCAAGCCAGCTTGTTCCCGGGCAGCCCCAGGAGTCCTGCCGGCTGCAGGAGCCTGCTGAAGGCAGAAGCAGTGAGGGGCCCAATCCTTTTTTTATGCAGAGCCTTGCCCACCTCTCCTGTGGCCAGTTAGCAAATTGGCAGGTTAGTTCTACCCCCTGCTGCAGGAGAGGTGGGCAGGCTCCACTAAGGGGCGGGGAAAGGATCAGGCCCCTTGCCGCTTCTGCCTTCAGCGGGTGCCTGCAACCACCAGAACATCATATGTACAGTGTTGGAAAAATAAAACCCACCTTTCAATTTAAGGGGAATAGAATGCAAACCTAAGACCTAAAACCATGTCATGTGTACAAGTGCCTCCTAGTGTTTCACTACTAGGACAGAAGTAACACTGCAGGCTATCAGAAAGTGTTCCACAGCCTACAGAGTGAAAATTAATGCAGTAAACTCTTCGGAGAGTAAATGTCTGTGCAATAGACAAGCACAGATGCACTCACATTATATATATATATATATAAGAGTCTTCCAACTGAGACAGGGCCTGAAAATTTAACGAGAAAAAGGAAAAAAAAAGAATTAAAGAAATGAAAAATCCAGGCCAACTGTACCTTTCCAAAGAAGCAGAAAAGACACATATATAATTTTGTTTCTATTTGCTGGTCAGCACTAAAGGAGAAGGGGGTTGGGTTGAGGATGAGAGTGATTGTCTTTGTTGGGTTATTTTTTAACTTTTTTGCTTTTAAGTGATCACAGCTATGTTTTCCCAACAGAAGATACAGTACCAAAGAAGGTGGTGTGCCACTTCAATGGAAAAACATATGCAGACGAAGAACGTTGGGACATTGACAGCTGCACACATTGCTACTGTTTGCAGGGTCAGACCCTTTGCTCCACTGTCAGTTGCCCACCTCTCCCATGTATAGAGCCTATCAATGTTGAAGGAAGCTGTTGTCCCATGTGTCCAGGTAATAAGAACATAGCCCTAAATTGGACAAGTTATGTTGTTTTTCAAGATTGTAATCAGCTTTTGATATAAGCTGTGATTCATACAGAGTGCTGCATATTGAAGATATCAGGAGTGTTGCTTGTATCACAAAAAACAGCAGCACAGGATAATTAAGGAACTAAATACTCATTGTAGATAGGCAAACACTGTGCAATAGTATAGCTCCTACAAACTGTGAATTCAAAAATTAACTGCTTGCTTTTCCTCGCCAACTGACTTCTTCATAAATTTTGGGAGAAGAGGGGAAAGCAAAGCACGATTGTCAAATGGAAGAAGAAATATTTGTATTCCTCTGTAGATCTACAGGTGTCTGGCATTTCTTTTGCTCCACAAATTGGGAATTTCTTCCTAAACTGATTTTATAAAAGACATACTTTTGATACAATGGGACAATTTCTTATATATGTCCAAGTGAATCAACAAAGGACTTTGTTGCAACTTCCTTATTCTGGTCCTAACCTATTACTGCAGATTTGTACTTTTATTTCTGTCAGTTGATAACAACCTCTAAAAGACCATCTGCCAGTTGAGGAGCTTCAGCTCTTCCCTTTTCAAACCCATTATATATCTCATATATTGGGAACTCCAAATGAGGTTGTAGTAAGAGGTATTTAAGACAACTCTACACCAATTGGGAAAGTTCAGCTGTGTTCTTGGCCTTTAATGTTGGTGGAGTGGGATTAATGGGAGCAGATTCTTGGAATCTAAGTAATATGACACAATATATTACTACAAAATATTTTAACCAAAAAAACCCGCCTCCGAGGGCTGTTCCATACAGTTCTCAATGGCATAATAGCACTGGGCTATAAGCAGTAGTATCCTGTACAGTATGAAATAAACAGCAACCTATAACCTTCCACATGTGTTCAGCAAGCAAAAATACTCTAGCAAATAAAAAAGAATTGATAGGAGTAATGATGAGGGCTTCCAAAGTAGCAATAAGATCCAGAGGGTTAAAAGACTACCGATCCAAAAAAGCCCAGAACCCACATGTAGATACAGCAAAGTAGTGATGATTTTATGATTTATTGAAAAAGTATTTGTCCTATTTGCAGAGATGTATGTACCTGAGCCCACCAACATCCCTATTGAGAAAACAAATCACCAGGGAGATAATGAACTCGAAGCACCAATTTGGCCTACACCCAGTGAAAATGACATTGTCCATCTCCACAGAGGTAAGAGCTGACAGAAGTTGTTAACTGTACTTTGTAAGGTCTGTACTTCCTCCCTATGTCCATTTGCTGTAGGAAGGAAGCTAACAACTAGCTTTTTCAATATGTTTACAAAGGTCTAGGCATAATTTCTGTAGGATAAATACAAGAAATAATGCAATTTATCATTTTGAAGTAGAAGCAAAATACCTAATAATCTTCTGTAAGCAGGAAATGCATGCCTATGCTTTCAATTTCTACTTAAATGCAGAAAAATACTCCTTTAAATAAGCTTCAGCTTGTAATATATAATTATGTAATGTTATCCTGATAAGAAATATTGGCAAAGCAAACTAAATCCATTAAAGTACTGTATAAAAATGTATTAAATTCAGTCAGTTTGAGTCTCCCATTTGCATTAGGTAGTACTTATTCATAATAGTAAGAATGAATGACTTCAGTGGCAGTATCATCTTGAGAAAGTATAGCACAACTGGGCACTTAACCAAAATATTTGTTTAATAAGTTCTTTCAGTTGACCACTATACAAATGTATTAAAGTCAACACAAATTTCATTACCTTTCTCTCCCTCTCCGACTATGATTGGTGTTTTCTTCTTCAGATAGGTGGTTTGAGTGAAGTTACTGAAGGAAGAATTAGGTTGGCATTTTATTCTGAAAATATTGAGCTTTATGTCCCATTAAATCCATGCAAGAGTAAATTCTGCTAGTATGGGTCATTCTGAGAAAGTTCTATTTCCTACACATTCATATTGTTGAGATCAACAAGTTCCATTTCCAGAAACTTGTAGTTATCATGAGAACTAACAGTTGCACATACACAGAAGGCCCTTTGAGTACCTGGGGCTAAACTCACAGGCTAAGTACAAACAGTCAAACAGCCTAAGGCTAAATTGATTCAGTCTTTGCAGGTTAGTCTAAGATGCAGAGATTAAACTGAGAAACAACTGAACACACATTTACTTTTGAATCAGGAAATACAGTCACATGCCTGCAGTTGCTCAGGCCAGAAGCTGGGTGGGTGCTAGAGCATGGCTTTCTGGCACGTAGCCAGCATGGGTTGTGTGTTCACTTCTTCCTGCTGCCCCCAAGGTCTCTGGGATTTGCAGTGCACTGTCACAGCAGCAGGACTCTGCAGGGTTGCTCGTCATTTCCTCTTCCTGCTTCCATGTGACTCTAGGATTTGTAGAGTCACCAAATCCAGAGTCACAGCGGCTAGCAGTAACTTTCAATAAGTTTGGCGGGCAGGGCAACTCTGTACTCAGGAAGGCAGATTTAACCCCTCTCCATGGCCCCAGACCCCAGCTGGGGTTTGCTTGCGGGGGAGGGAGGGAAGGAAGGGAGCAGTCCCTGCCTTCCCATGCCCCACCCCCCAACCCTTCTCTGCTGGAGCAGGCTACAGAGCATGCTGGGGGGCTCTGATTTAACTTAAACCAAGGAATGGTTCTGGGACAGGTTTCATTAACTGGTTTGATCTAAATCATTGAAGTCTGATACTACATTCAACTAGGTTTATTTTAAACCAGTTTCAGCCATTTTGAAACTGGTTTATTTGCACCGGAAGTCTGTTCTGTTACAAGTTCAAACCAGTTTCTGATCCCTTAAACCGATTTATGTGTAACTTCTGTCCCTAGCCAGAGATGAGGACTGGAATCCTCATTTTTGACCTGATACTCAGTAAAGAACCAGAAGGGACAACATAGTACTATGATGACGCACTCTAGGAGCCCTGTCTTTCTACAGCTATAAATCTGTCGTAACCAACTTTTGTCTGGGGTTCATTAGCTTCAGAAGATGTATCAAAATGTTTTGATTCATACTGATAGCTATGACACAGAGCCTACAGTATTAATGCAGACACTGCTATATGCATGTCGCATAGCTTTCTGAGTAAAGCCAAAATGCATGTGTTAAATTATAGTTTGCTAATTTAACCTCTCTATCAAAACATCTGTGAAGTTCTATTCATCACAACTTTTCTAGGTGGTGAACAGCCTGGTGAATCCAAACCATCTCCATTCAGCTGTGGAATTACCAGGCTGCATAAAATGACTTGGATTCAGATTAGATTAGCAGCCTTTGTAGTACCAGCATAGCATCTGGGGGAGATAAATGCCAACAGTCCCATGGAACAAGTGTCTGGTGTGGTGAATGGTGCTTTGCATAAGAAGTTGAATGAATATTCATGTTAATAGAGCTGATATTTTGCTTGAATTGAATGCTCTCAGTATTTCTTAACAGTTTTTAGTAAACATCCAGTACAGTGGGTTGCAGGAAAAAAATACTCCTCTCTGAGAAATACACATGTTGCTGTTTAGCCACAATCAGCAATAGCAAAATTTGCATAATTGTAAACAGAAAAAAACACACTTTTTAAAATGTTTTTTATACATATTTTACTCCATGTGGCCAGCTTCTTTTGGAAGAAGGCAGGGTACATATCAACCTTACAGGCTAAGTAATATATATATATATATAGGCTTTCAATAAACTCCAGCTCACTTCATCAGATGCTGTCTGATGAATCTGATGAAGTGAGCTTGAATTTATAAAAGCTTGTGCTCTGCTTAGTCTGCAAGGTTCATCTCTAGCCTGCCCTCTCCGGACTTCAGACTAGCACAGCTAACTACCTCTCTCAGCTTTTGGCCATCAGTATTTACTGGCTGATTTGCCCATGACCTGAGTATCATTGTGCTTCTAACTAAGATAAGTGACCCCAACTGCTTCTCAGTTCCTGCTCATCTCCCAGGGCTAGGAATGGGAACTTACAGTATCAGCTTCTTCATTCACTGCAGTTCTTAGTTATGCAAAACATTGTAATTAGTACTTAATTGCTAGTTATTTATTTTAGAATTAAGATTTTTAAAGTTTCCTTTTTTGTTTAGAAGGAAATTAGCTTCCTTGTTTTCCAGGGACTTAGCTCTGAAATTGTGATCAGTCATAACAATTAGCACAAATCTTTAGGCTTTAAAAATTGTTCTTATACAAAGCTAAAATGTCTCACAGTGATGGCTCTCCAATGCTCACTGTGTCCAGAAGTGGGGTAAGTGTAAAACATTTCCTAAAACTGAGATGTCAAATGTACAACCCACAGGCAAGTCCCAGCCAAGCGAGCCACTTCTTCTGACCTATGGAGCTCCTTGTGGGACCAGGCATTAAGAGGCAGGGTCCGCTGCATAGTATGCAGTAGGCATGTGCAAAGCGGCTAGTATTCGCTTCGGATTCAGCTGACTCAGGGGACAGTAATTCGATTTGGTGATTTGAATCACTCTCCCGAATCGATTTGGCCAAATCTGATTCAGAGATTCGGCTGCTGTCGAATATCAGAATCACACAGGCCCCATCCCCCGCAGATAGGGAAAATTCTCTTACTGAACAGGTCACTGTATATACCTCCAAGCCCTGAGAGGCCTAAAGCAACAATTTCTGAGCATTCATTATCTAAAAGCATTCTTGGCTGCCTCTTCAGTTCAGGGCATTGAAGTAGCCACTCCTAAAGGTCTAGTTTTGTCTGGTAAAACCTTAGGCAACAAGAAGAGGAAGGAGCACTGGGACCACAAGAAAAAGAGATCTCAGCCCTCGGTCTCTTCCTCAAGAAGCCACAAATCCTTTCAAGTCTTACAGATAAAGGGTAGTACTAAGCCTAAAATACATCCAGACAAGCATCTGTCACCACATCTTAAGCTTTGGTTCCCTCAGTACTATTTAAATTTTCTGGTACTAGTTTTCTAACCCCAATCTATTTGAAACCATCTCCCCTGGTACCAATGCCGTCAAAAAAAAAATCAGTCCTTGGCATCAAAACATTCCATATTAAAATCCTAAATGACATCTAAAAATCTACTATCTCATCAGTACCAGACTTTCCACTATTAACAGTGCTAAAGGTGCCTCCCCCATGACTGCTCCAACACCAGTAATGTGTACATCACCAACATCAGCCACAGCATAAGAAAAATATGGTACAGCTCCTTTTCTTTTTAAATAAGAAAAAAATAATTCTCCTTTTCAGGCTCTAAGGTAGTAGAGAGATGTCACTGACTTACTCCTTTGAGTCCAGATATTTAGCTCAGTTTAAGTCTGAGAGAGAATCTAAAGTTGCGTTTCAATACCATAGGTCAGTGTTTTCAACCTTTTTCATTTGCAGACCCCTAAACAAGTTTGAATGGAGATACAGACCCGTTTTCATTTTAAGTGTGGGTACTCACATACTTTTGATTGATCATAGTCCTCTTTTGCAGACCCTTTAGGCATAGTCTGCAGACCTACAGGGGTCCACAGACCACAAGTTGAAAACCACTGCCATAAGCAAACAGGCTGAAGGAGGTATGCTGCCCCCTAGTATCCCACTCCCCCTGGAAAACCATTTGCTGCTTCTGTCCTTCCTTTCTCTCCCTCCTTCACCTGAAGTCACTCAGTCACTTCAGCCTGGTCATTTGGCAAATGAACAGATTGTTCATGGCTGTAATGAGGAATCTCAAACAGAGTATCAACCTGTCCTGGCTCAAATAGTCTCATCATCACTGGATAAAGATATAGTGCTTGTGTCATCTACTTCCACCTCAGGTGACTGTAAGACATTCCAGAACATGTTGGAGATCCTAGGTGAGGATTCCAGGTGAAAAAGAATCGCACACAATTTGGGATCTGCTATGTGCCCCGTTACTTGGATGTCTTGCAGAGCCCATCAATAAAGTATATAAATTGCAATGGAGGATGCCTGCCTCTCTTGCACCAACATCAAAGAGAACAGACAGTCCATCACTACGTTACTTCCTAAGGTTTTGGATAATTTCACATTCCATGCTAGGTTCATTGATTGTTTCTATGGCAAACAAAACTGGTCAAAGTAAACACAGAATACAGTCAAAAGACAAGGAGCCTGAAAAATTTGATTTGTTTAGACAAAAAAGTGATTCGCCATCTAAATAAGAGCCACTAATTAGAAAACCCTGTTGGCAAAATAAGACTATCTGTATTAGACTTTCATGAGTAAATACATAGAAAGTCTTCCTCAAGGCAACAGGGAGAACTTCAATTTACTGAAGATCAATGTGTGGCATGCACATCTTCAAACAGCCCTAGATACTGTGGATACAGGCTCCAATTCCATGAAAATCTGAATTGCTATAAAGAGATCTTAGTGGCCACATAGTATGGAATCAATCAGTTTCATATAACAACTGAGGATCTTCCACTTGAGGAATTTTAACTTGTATGTGCTAAAACAAGTGAGACCTTAGACTCTGAAATCCAGTTCCTTACTTTAATCAGAAGAGATTCAGCATTGACATTTGATATCTTGCTCAGCACAGAAGCCAAACTTGCTTACCTGGCATACCTAGACCAAAGGCTTAAATACCCATACAAGGGTTTGAGTTAAGAAGTTTCTCTCTCTCTGTGGGTACATAATCCAAACTATAATATAGCTCTGTGTGTGTGTGTGTGTCTATATACTGCTTATGGCATGCTCTGGTCTGCTAGATTAAGCAGCAAGTGATGTAATACAGTGATTCATTTCCTATGCAGAAGATTTCTAACTTCACAGAAACTCTTCCAACTTATTTCCTAGCAGGAGACAATTGAAACATAAAATGGACATCATCAAAATAGGCATATTCTTATCCTGATGTTATAAAACATACAATATGAAAGGTTTTATTTAACCAGGATTTGAGGAATAAATAGATGCTGTGGAACTATCTTTGCATCCTTCCTGGACCCTACATTGATCAGGAATTGGCAGGACCAAGCCCCCAAAAGAAATAAAACCTCAAAAGGTGTATAAAAAGGAAATATACCTGTTGGAAATTAAACCTGATCAAAAGAGATAAAGATGCTCTTACTACCTTTCTTATTCCCAGCAGCTACAATATTTAGAAGAGGATGAACATGAAAGGATAGTGAATATATATATAGTGGTTTACCAGTCAGATAAATTAATAATAAATAACAATTATTCTTGCAATTACTTATCTATCTATATATAAAGAGAGAGAGAAAGATGTAAAAATAGAGAAATTCGTATATCCACACATACATGAATAGCTGCACAAAAATAACATTTCGTCCCCATCCCCAGAGCGACCAAAAAGCCTAGCTATGTAAAGTAAATATGAGCTAATAGATCTGACATGTGCTTTGGCTCGATATTGTGAAACATTGCAGCTTTTCGAGATTTTTATACCAAACTAAGAACTGGATAGAGTGCCAGATAATGAGTGCTGTATCGCCATGTATATGCTGTAATTGCACAAAGCACAGTTAAATGGAACAAAAAAGCCATCTGTCATTCTACTTGGCAAATTACTGTTCCAGTCACAGTTACTTGTTCATACAAAACTAAGTTAACAGATACTCCTTTCCCCTCTCACTTCTACTTGTCCTGTCCCTGGAGCTCATTATAGGTATAGGCAAATCTTATAGATCCTTCCATCAGGTCTGTACCTTCACCATAAACTACTGAATCCATTCCAAGCCCCAGACTGTTCAGATGTCTCCAGTTGAAAATACAATTATCATATCCAGATAAGGGCCATTGATTGCACCAGTCAGTGTAAGATAACATTTCAGAACATAGATAACAGGGGGAAAAAGCACAAAGCCAAAATACTGGTAGGTGCTAAGGCTGGTACTTTTATAATCCTATTCTTGTTTATGATCCAGACAGAGCAGGATCACTTAAGATTTATTACTACTAACAAATGTTCTTGTTCATACCTTTCAGACATGAGTCATCTTCAAAGTGATTATAGAGAAGGCAAAGGACCACAACCAAATGAAGATACATCTCTCAGCTCTGTTGCTTGGGTGACAGTTCCTATCATGACTGCCCTGATTCTTATAATAGCCCTTCTGCTTGTCAATCAGAAAAAGCAGTGGATACCTGTGTCTTGCTACAAAGCCCCAACAAAGGTACAGTGAAACTTTTATTTGTATAAGTCTCCATTTCTGAAAAACAGGAGATTACCTGGAATGTATTTCAGGTACATTTGATCAACTTAATGTCAACTTAATTTTTTCCCTGCATCTCAACCCATGTTGCATTATTTGTCACAGGCCAGCTGGGCACTATGAGTATACTGTATCAGCCACTGGGCTGTTTGGTTCGGGATCGAGGAAGTGATGTGTTGGGAGTGAAGCAATGACAAGTTTTACTTATGACAGTAAAGATGAATTTTACTTATAACAGCAAAAGATATAGTTTGCATGTATAGCAGTTAATAAAAAGTTAAGCTAATAAACAGATAACATAACAAAAAAAGTTAAAAATTGACAGTGATAATAAAACAGAGACACAAATTAACGAAGAGTTCCCACTTGGTTAGCAACTTATCGATAGACCCTCAGTGTCAGGTACATGTCAAGTTGATTCAGCAAAGTCAGGCATCCCCAATCCATGCTGTCAGAGGGAGATACCGGGGAGAATCCCTCAGTCAGGATCTGGTCCTCACTCAGACTGGAAGTAAGAGATCCGGGGGCATGGGACAGCAATGACCATTATGTTCTGTCCTTCCTGTTGGTCACTTAATGTGCGTGTTCTTTTATATCCTGTCTATGCTAATCTGTTGGCTTTAGAGCCACTCACAATCTTACCTTATAGCTGTTACCGTATGGGGTTAAAAGTGTTAGGAATTATTATAATAAGTTACTGCCCAAGCTTGGGTTTACCCAATGAGCAGATCACACCACATCACTTTGAGGTCTGAGATTAGCATGTTCCCACCCACCCAAGTTCAACCTCCTAATGTTAATTATACCTTGTGGTTAGGTTCGTTAATTTTACTGACTCTAAGCAAAAATTTGTTAAATCAGCTAAAGCTGCATTTATTCTATAGCGCTGCTTTATAAAAACTTATGTTGGTCTTATGACCGGTACAAACAGTTTTATATATATTCTTTACAGGTTATACTCCAGACAGGCAGGAAACATTTACAGGAAGTCGTTTCATAAAGTCTATTTTAGCCAATATTTTCAGATGCCTTCAAAAAGCAAATTTCTTTTGTTATAAGTTGCTCGTTAACCCTTCTGGTTCTAGCCATCACAATTATTTCATAACACTTGTACTCAGTTGCTATAATAAATTATTTCTTGTGTAATGAAAAAATGAAAAAAATGAAAAAATAAAAATCACCAATTTGCCGCTCAATATGAATTTTCAGGAACAAGAACCAAGATCAGCAGACATACAAATCTGCAGTCAAAGATTCTTCTGTGTACATAGTTGGCATAGTTACTATAGCTCTCATCTACTTTAAATTTGCCCTCAAAGGATAGTTATTGTGTATATGTATCAAAACATTTTCAAATTTTCTGCTAACTGCCATCTATACTGCTAAGACAGAAACCTCTAAGACATGTTTAGGGTATAAGTAGATATGAATTAAACACCATTATTATTGATTGCAATTATAAAAATGAAATTGTATGAAAACTTGGAAATTAATAGTGAAAAAACACTTGAAACACTATAGAAAAATCATAGGTATGGTTGCACAGAAAAGCTTCATTTTGACTTCGGTATTAAAGTCTATTTCATACTAGTTCACCAACACTCCATTCATTTCTACATACCATAGACCAAGCAAGTGCATCTCATCCTAATTTATTATATGGAACACAACTTTACCGTATAAAGATATACAGAACAAAAGCTGTTGATACAAAATCCATTGGTACTCCTCAGTATTAGCATATTATGAATGTATAAATCATCTAACTAGAAATACTATGCCATTAAATGGTCATTAACTGATGATAGTTTTACAGTCTTTTAAAATGGCTGACCTGCCCCATCATGCTCTTTGAGAAAAAGCTAGGAATACTAGGAATCTCTGAGAGCATCCTGTTTCTTCTTCTCCAATGACAAAAATAGTAGGTGGCAACCATTTTGAAAAATGTCATTTCATGGTAGAATTCTCTAGAATAGTAATCTTCCATGGCTACTGGAGGGGGGGGAAAAAACTTCTGGTTAAAAAGAGCAATGCCAGAAATGTCCAGTAAGCCTTAAAATCTTCCAATTCAGCCAGCACATTCATTTTTAGGGAGTTTTAATGCAGGGAAGCTTGAAGAATCTACATTATTCCGTTTATGATCATTTGAGACAGAAGAGTCTGATGCAATATCTGAAATGTCTTAAAGGACTGGTATTAAAATTCAGAAGCTAACTAATGGATTTGCTTGTAAATTTCAGAAGAATCATTCTGTACCTGAAAGTAACTGCTGTAATTTTGAGAGTATATACATTATTCAAATGTAACAAAGAATCTCTGTTTAAGTTCAAATTCAACTTTTTATATGGACCGTGACAGTCCATGACTCTTAAACCTGAATGGTGTTTTTGTTCACTACCTTGTCAGTCATGTAAGAAGAACAGAATTTTTCCAACAGACTGCAATCACAGAGCACTGTCCAAAAGAAGTATTTTAGGAAAATGAGAAAATGGATAATATCTTAGAGGACAGAAGTTTGTAACTCCTCCTGCTGATGGATGGAAAGATTTTTACCCTGACCCGAGTTTTGGTGAAACATTGATCAACTGCAAGACAATTCACTACTAAGCTTAAAAAAAGCAAAAAGTTATCAATGAAGCATTTGTACAGCCTAACTGATGTTAACACATGCCCATAAGCAAAAGCCAGGAGTTGGTTGCCAAGCATTCATTTTGAATGAGGGTCATTCTTTTTCATCTTTCAAGCATAGTCATTAAAAAAACTAATCATCTGTTCCCATGTAGTTTATTATTCCTTTTACGTTGCTGCCTACTGAACAAAATAATATGCCAGAAGATATTTTTGAGCAAGTATGAGTTGCTGAAGCCAGTGATTTCGATTCTGTGGAGTCCCTTTCTCCAGTGGATTGATCCTTGGAGTTTCTAGGTCACATCATGTCTCACTATTTCTTTCCTTCCTTTTTGCAGTCTTTCAACTTTACTTCCTATTTACTTTTCTCATATTACTATCTTTTATCCATGGTTCCTTGCCCCTACCCTGACCTGATCTCTCTCTTCAATAGTCCCACCACAGCCTTCTGTCCTACATATGTCTTCTGTCCTTCAGCTGGTGCCTATTCTCTCTTTCCTTACAATCAAGATGCAAGTATTACAGCATGTATAGGGGTTCAGTGAAATGCTATTAAGTGAAAACAGCCAGAAATGGATTGGGGGAGAAAGAACACAGAGCCAGGTCTCAGTCCCCTGAAGCTGGAAAGAAGGGTAGGCCTTCCTTTCAGGGGTGTTTGCTGCCTCTTTTGCAGGAACTTCAGTACTGCTACACCTTCCCTAATTTAGCACAGAAGAATTTTAAAATGGCAGATCTTTGCTCTGTTAATACCCTGCTGTCGTGTCACTTGAAATGTCCTTATATATTAAAAAATGTAACCTTGTTTTGTTTTTTTACAAAAGAATAATTTAATTCCTTATAGGACCATATTTTGAACTTTCTTTACATGGAAGACCAGTTTGCTCCATAACTGAGCCTCTGGACTTTAGCAGGAGTCCTGCTCTAGGGTAAGGTGTTACCACTTAGATGTCAGGTTCTGGTGCCATTATTCCTAAATTGGAAGGGTTATTTAATATTATTTGTGTGAACAAGAGGATAAAAGTGGCAGATCAGATTTGCTATGTAGTTAATCTCTTAGAAATCTTGTTTTAATAGAACAATAGTTAGAAAAAAATCTATTTCTTCATTCTTATTTATTATAAAAGCATCTTTGTTTCAGTCTCTAGCAGCACTGTAGTATGTAATACATTCCAGGCAGAATGCGGAAGCCATTTATAGGCAAGCTCTTCTTTGTAGATTTGTGAATTCACAAAGGGTCAAAGTTTATTAAAGATCTTTATCATAAAACATCTTGTTCTGAGAGTTGCTTCCTCCAGTAACCTTCTGATTCTTCCTCCTGCTCTCTGCTGGGTGATGGGATACTTGCTAAGAAGTGTAGACAACTAGGAACCATCTTGGGCTTCAATTCAATGTATGGAAAGGTACTCATGCCATGCTTCGCTCCTTAAGAAGCATATCAACAGCAATACTTAAATACCACCATTGTTTGCCATCTATTCTTCTCCTCTTTCACAGTCATTCTTAAATATGTATTTGTGCGTATATATATACACACATGCACACACGTGTGTAATGATGTGCACATCAGACAAGAATGCAAATAACAGCCCTGGCTCAGGGTCATTACAATCCTAATACCTGATGCTTCCCTTTGCTTTCTGGCAATTTTGTTTGGAGCAGTCCTGGGTCTCCTCTTTGTCATTAGTATTCCAATAATTCAGTGCCCATTACACTTGCTTTGTGGGACATGATTTCCCTAGCTACATAGACACATTGAGTGCATTGCAGTTCAGCCAGCTTTAAGCCATATGTCTTAATAATTCTCACAGTATAAACATATGAGCAACCATACTGAGAGAGAAATTAATTAGGAAGTCCTTTATAATAGTAATAAATCAGGTTGCCCAGATCAGCAGGTTTTGATCTGTTGTTCTTTTTGAAATCTTGCCTTCAGTGTTTTAGTCACTTGAACCACACAACTAAATCCAATAAACATGGGTTTTTTTCCCCCCAAACACTGACAGTTTTTAAATAGAAACACTTCCTTGAACCATGGGCAACCTATGTGGAGAAAGCAAAATGAGAAGGAATCATTGCAGGAACACTGACTATAAAATTTACTCTTACACAAATGAGGTTTTACTTTATAGCCAAAGAAAACAAAACTCTGCAGAATAACTTAGTACAATAAAGCATTCAGGTGTAATATTAAGAAGCAATTCAACACACCAAAGCAGAAGCCGGTATGATAAATGAAAGGATATAAAAGAATACAGCTAAATGAGAAAATGTAACATAAACAAAAAAGGCTTCTGCTATATCAGACTGGGGGGAAAAATAATTAATTTAAGACAAGTTGTGCTAAAGTATTAAAAAATGAAGAACTAAAAACCTGGGAAACCCTTTTGCTCTCTAGTAGTATGAGACCACATTAATATTAGGTTTTTTTCCTATTTAAATAGGTATCACTAAAAGCTGTAAAACAGTAAATTGATTTGTTGAACAAAACCTGTTTTCAGATATATCTGTTAGGACAAGCACAGATTCAAACACAGTCACTTCTTATCTGATCTCTACAACTAAAACTACGTGTTCATCTAAATTTTTTCCCCTATTGTAACATCAATTTTGTGTAGTTGAGAGTATTACATGCACAGTAAATAGTTTTCAGGTCTGGTAAATGCTGTACCTTCTCTTTGACATTTATCTGAGTTGGCAGACATTTACTGTATGCTGTATGACTCTATTGAACATCATGATGTAAATAGTTCCATCTAATCCAGGATTTTCTGTTTCATTTTTGAGCTGTGCAAAACTGTATTGAAAACATTTTTAAAATTAAGTAGTACTAAGATTACTGTATTTAATTTATCCTCTAAACTTTTTATCCTGCTAAAGACCATTTGGCAACAGGTTATATCCATTCGGGGCAGATCCAGAGGGGTGCAGTAGAACCCCCTTTTGAACTGGACCACTACATGAGAGCTTCTGGGGATTTTTTTAAATTCCCAAAGCACATAAGAATCCAACCCCCCTTCCACTTTATACTTAGAGGCACATCTGCTCCCCTTCCCATGGCCCCCACTTCCACCTGCTGCTGCTGCTTTCCTCTCTGCCTCTGGGGCAGGGAAACTTGTGCCAAAGCTACTTGTGCCTGCTCCAGCCAGTCTGCATGAGGCCTGGGCTCAGCTGGGAACAGTGGCAGCAGCAGTGATGGATAGATAGGGTGGAATCCCTCACCCTGCCTTGTCCCCCTACATCCCCCTTTGCCAAATCTTGGATCTGCCCCAATATCCATTGGTACTGTTATCACAGTAGGGAATCAACTATTTGAACCGTTAACAACATGTAATTTTTCTGATGCTGGAGAAATGCATTAGAAAGTTAGCTGTCTCAAACTGGGCAGCCAGACACTGTGAGATGTCAGTTTGTAGTCGGTGCTATAATATTTAAAAATAAGAAGAATGGATCTCGCTCCCCTGCCTTCTCCCCTTCCCATCCTGCAATAGGGCAAGGGGTAAGAGACTGCAGACACACAGCCTCCCTTGCTGGACTGCCTCCAAAATGGAGTTCAATCCCCCACTCTACCAATCCAACCGTTAACAATGGTTGGGTCGGGAGGATCGATCTGACTCAGGGGTGGCCAATTATTTTGTCTGGAGGGCCACAAGGGTAGCTCTGCCCCTTGACAGGTGACCTTTATAAGTCCCACCCCCCCAGCCCCTGGCCTTTGCCACATGAAGTGCCTCCCTTTGCCCCCGGAAGTACTCCTTGGCAGGGGGGGACACTGCCATCTTAGAAACAGAAAAAAATTCATATACTAAAAGTCACAAACACCTGCTATATTTTGATTTTATTACAAAAAATATTTTTGTCATGATTTGTGTTTGTATAGTGTGTATAGAGGTGATTGCATAATAGCTCATCAGTGGTCTTATATAGTGTGTGGGGGGTGTAGTTGGGAGTGTGGGCTTATGCGTGGGGGGAGGAGTGTGGGTTGTGAGAGGGTGTGGCTGCGTGTGGGGGGGGTAGGGCATGTGGCAGGGATGTGTGTATATGTGGGGGGCTGCAGGGACAGGGTATGGGTGTGTGCGTTTTGTGAGGTGTGAAGGAGAGTTGGGGGGGGGGGGGGGGGCCCCCCTCCCCCCCCCCCCCCCCACCCCCACCCCCCCACACCACCAACACTCACCCACACACACAGAGTTCACAGTACCCGTCGTCAGTCGCAGCAGCAGCAGCAGGCGGCGGGCCCTTGGGGCACTCAGGGCCCACCCAGGCACTGCTGCCCACTTCTGGCAGAGTCCAAGGACTTGCACACGGCAGCACATCATACTGGGGTGCATGAGTGCCAGGAGCTGCACATGCACTCTGGGGAGCCCCACGTGACAGAGGAGGGCCAGCCTGGCTGCATTCCTCACCACCACGTGTAGCTCTGGCTGGAGCCACACAGCACTGGGCAGTAGTACCTGCGTGGGTCACAAGCACCCCCAAGGGCCTGTTGCTGCTGCTGCCACTAGCAGCAAGGCCTGTGCACCATGGCGGGGGAGTGTGTAGTAGGGTCCCCATCCTCTGCCCACCTGAGCTCCACACTCCTGCAGTCCCCTGGGCATGGGTACTGCGCTCCTGCCCAGCTGCAGCTTCTCCCCACCCCCGCAGCATCCTTACCTGCTCTCTGTAGTGAGTATTGTAGCAGGGAGATGACGAGAAACTGCTGGATGCTGGGGAAGTTGAGCAGGTCCTCCAGCAGCTGCAGCAGTGGCAGCAGCAGCCCCTCCCAGATACTGTAAGCCGGCTGGACCAGGCCTTTCTACACGTGAGGGTGGAAGTGAAGCATACAGGCTAAGCAGGGTACAATTAGTTGGTGGGCACCCATGGATCAGATGAAATTGCTTGGTGGGCCATATTTTGCCTGCCCCCGATCTAACTCATGGTGCTTTCTGTGAAGTGCCATGAGCTAGACTGGGGAGCTTCGTGTCTGTCAGTGTTAAAATGGTTAATTTGCCAACTTCTGCTACCAGCTGTATGCCTGCAGGCCTAATGCTCTCGTTCCTATTGATCACTTCCTTAGCCTATGCACGTTTGAAGTACTGCAAGAGTTGGACCTTTTATAACAACGAAATAAACAAAAACCAAATTAAAGTTTTGTGAACTCTCAGCCACAAAAGTTTCTCACGCTCCTGCTATGGAAGAAGGATAAAAAGGATGTGTGAACTGAGTTTTTATATTCTGTATTTTTTTTTTTTTTTTCAAACAGCCTTCTTGCCTAAATAATCAGCTGGTATACGTGGACTGCAAGAAAGGTACAATGGTCCAGGTGGACAGTTCTCAAAGGATGCTAAGAATTGCTGACCCAGATTCAAGATACAGTGGATTCTACAGCATGCAAAAACAGAACAACCTACAGGCAGATAATTTCTATCAAACAGTTTGAAGAATTGCATCCTTGCCAAGGATTTGAGAGAGAGAAATTGAGAGAGAGAGCGCGCGCGAGAGAGAGAGAGAGAGACTGAGTCTGCTATTAAAATAAAACTAGAATTGTGCACTTGCTTAGTGGATTGTATTGGATTTGTGACTTCATGTACAGCTCTAAGACCTTACTGGGATGGGCTCTGACTCCTGCAATGTGCCAGAACAAGCATTCCCACTTTTCCTTGAAATAACTGACCAAGTGTTTTCTTAGAACCAAAGTTTTAAAACTTGTGAAGATGTATTTGCTTGTAACATAGCTCTAGAGATTGTTTGGGAGGGGGAATTTGGGGTGGGTGGTGGGTGGTGACGTGAGAGGAAGCTTTGAAAAAGAAAAGCTGGTCAAGCTTGGCTTGAAGAGAAAACACACAAAGGGCATTGCCAAGCATCAGGATGGTGGCTTTTCCTGTTGCTCTAAAACTGCATTTGTTGCAGCAAAGCCTAAACCCATGTGAAAAAACAACCAACAAAAAGGTCTGATTTTTTTTTTCAGCTGTTGCTACAATAATATACTCCTAGAACAGAACCTGTCACATCACAGGTATGGTGTAGCTGCAAATATTTTTCTATATGACAAGAAGCTGCAGTAGTTAACAATATAGCAAGAAAGAGGTTATAGCAGAATATAAAGGGTGGGTTTATTAAGGATGTATAAAATTATACCTTGTGCTGCTTTTTGTTTTTGTTTTGTTTTCTTCAAAAGCTGATTGGCCAGATTTTGGCAGAGTTAGCAGATGACTGAGGCATAAGTAATTCCTGATATGAGCACTGGATCTTTTGACAACAGTATTGAAGAAAGAAAGGAAAAGTCAAGAACACCATGCAGTTCCAGGGGCTTTTGTTTGTTTGTTTGTCTTGTTTTTGTTTGTTATTTTGTATTAATCTCTGGTTGTTCATACCGTTTCAATAGAGAAGAAGGAAAAACTATTTTTGTTGGACAAAGCTCTTGCTTAAACGAGAGAGTAAAAAAGAGACTGGTGTAAGGTTTTTCCTGTTGTTGTTCTTATTTACTGGTTATGCAGATTAGAAACTACTTCCATGCTAGGAAGCTGCTTAATTTTAATTGTATATTACTCAAGCACCTTTTTGAAGCTCAGAAAAAAGGAGATCATGCTTCTTTAAACTTTAGCAGTATAGGAATATTTATGTAAATATAATTATGCTAAAAAACAACAAAAAGTATTTGTATGCCTGTGTGTATGTATATATACATGTGTGTATGTATGCATATGTATTTATACGTGTGTATGTACATATACACACTACATATGTATATATACCGTATATATAGTATTTATATATATATACAGTATATATATAATTTTTTATTTTTTTTCTTGTTGAATGTATTTTTATCTGAGAGAGATTTTACCCAGAGCAGAAACAGATAAACAGGCATTCCATATCAGTGCTTAATCACTTGTGAGTTTAGGAAAGACAAAAGGAGAGCATCTCATTCTACCTACAGTTTTATTTGATTTGAAAGTGTTTTGTGTGTGCGTGTGCGTGTGTGCGTGTATGTACATGTGGGTGTGTGTGTGCACTCTTGTGTTTGCGTGTGTACAGTACGTGCACGATTTATAGAAGTAAGCATTGCTCTTGCTACTTGCTACATTTCAGGGTGTTTCTTATTTCTTTTCCTGCTTGGCCTTAAAAAGGCTTTTAATGAATGAGTTGGCTAGAGACACTGATGACAGTATACATGCAGCACTAATCAGTTCCACAGAATAACACCATCAGCTCCTGGATTTTATTTTTCAAACAATTGTTTGAAACAACTACTGGAATATTGTCCACATTAAGCTGGAAGTTTGTTGTAGCTTGCCTCATTTATAACTCTGACTGTATAATACAATGTTAACTTTCCAAACAGGTCTTGGCACTTTTATACTAATTACCCATTTGTGCATTGCCTTTTTTTCTTTTACAAATGCTTGTCATGAAAGACACAGATACCCAGTATGCTTAATGTGAAAAGGAAATGTATTTTTTGTAAAGGAACTCTCAAGTATTGTTGTAAATACTTGGTCAGAGGTTGCTGAACTTTAAAAGTGAAAAAAACTAATTTATTATTATAATGACCTAATTTATTAATCTGAACATTAACGATTTTTTGCTTTAGAATATCAAAAAGGTGTTCTAGCTGTTTGCATCAAAGAAAAAAAATAGGTATGTCATTAAGGGTCAACATTTTTTCTGTTTATAAGGTTTCAGTTTCCAAAAACAAGTAAGAAAAAAATGTAGTCTCCCCAACATTTTGTACTTAATCTGATAATGAAACGGATATGTTTCTGTCCAGTCGTTACAAAGATTCTGTCAAGACACATCATCCATTCCTTGCATAAGAGTAAGCAGTCTTTATCCAGAAATTGTAAATGCTTGCTTTTGTTTTACAATCAAGGCCATATTCTGGAAATATTAGCAGGATATAGGACATGGTGTAAAATGTTTTTTATTATTATTATTTTATTATTATTATTATTATTTTAAAGATATGATTTATCTTATGTGCTGTATCCATTTCACTCTTTTACTTTGGTTCCTGTTGTGCTCTTGTAAGAGAAATGCAGATATCATTTTCTGAAAAAATAAAATAGATGCATATGTGGCACTTGGAGTGCACTGCGGTTCGGCAGATTGCTTGTTTACTTTTTTAACTGTAAGGCGGTTTCTTGTAATTTGGCTCTTGGCAGCACAATAAAAATTTTAAACCTAATGGTACATGTATTTTTTGTAATTTTTCATATGTCTTACTTCCATAAAATGTTGCTTGAGAAACTAGCTTATTATATCTTAATTAAAATGGGCCATTTTGCTTCCTTCAGATGTGAATTTGCACATCATTTTGACCCGGAGTTATGTAATGTTGGTCTGAGCAAAGATAACGCCAGCTTGACCCGTTTTAATTAGGGACAGTTTTGTTGCGCAAGTCTTAGGTTCGCACCAAAACACTTTCCTAGTGACATTAGAAACATGTTCATTAAATTTTAACAGTACGTTTACACAAAAGTTTGCAGCAGTTCGTAAATAAAGTGTCTCAGAAGAATAAAGTGGGCTCAATCCTACCACTTACTTCACAAGGCCTGGCCACTACAATCATTTGGAGCCACAATGAAGTCAGTAGGATTCTATGCAGGTGTAAGGGACAATTATGTACATTTTCAGTTCCATAAGAAGAGCCAGAGAGCCTGAGTGCAGTACTGGTGCACATGCTCAGGCCTGCTCTTGAGCTGCTATGCTTCCTAGTTTGTGGACTTGGGGGAGCATGAAGTGGGTACAAGTGGTTTTATTTCTCCACTATACTCCCCAGTTTACCCTGGGGGCCATATAAACCCAGAACAGTTCTAGATCTTGCTAGAAAAAAACTCCCCTGCCCCCAAGAAGAGAAGGAAATGGCCATAAGACTGCCTTCTGAGGCCCCCTTGCATGGCCTGGTGTGGTATCAGGGCAGGGTATAAGAGGAGACAAGTCAGAACAAAGCTGTAGCACTGAGGTGTGCCACATAACAAAAGCCGCAGGGCCTCTTATCTTCAAAAACTTTTAAGGAATTGTATTTCATTATCAAAGTCACTGATTAACATAAAAGTTTACTCCTTGTCCGTATAATGTAATACATCCTGCAGCCATGAACAAGAGCTCCTTTCACAAGGTGCACAAGGACCTTCCTTTGAACAAGGTCCTTTCACTTGGCTGAGTGCTTTGGAAAATGCTGATTTAGTGATACATTTTTCAAAAATGTTTAGACTGTACAATCCTGCTGTTCAAATCTTGACATCATTATCTTAACTCATCATCCTTAAGTTCTTTGTGGTTTCCTCCGTGAATTTTTCAGTGGACACCTCAAAACAAAGCATTTAGTAAATGACTGAAACTACTGTTTAATACATTTATTCGTAAAGTGGATGCATTCAGCCAGTAGCATATAATTAAGTGGTATGTTTCACAAGATGTTATATAGCTGTGAAATTTTCAACTCTTGGTCTTTCTAAACAAAAACTGGAAAAAGAAGAAAAAGGGGTGGGGGAACAGAGGATCACACTAACGGTATTCCTCAGGAAGGTTGTTTTTGGGAGGCATCAGTCCAGAATGCTCTGGTTCCAGGAGCCTTATAAAGAACATCTGGACTCCACCATTCTTAGTTATAAAATACAGCAATGTTAAAAAAAACCTGTAAAGAGCAAACAGCTTCTTACAAGCTTCATTGACAAATTTTATACTCTTTAAAATAAAATATTACAAGTCCCTATCATTAACAAAAAAATAATACATTAAGGTTGAAAAATATTTCAAAGTTGAAAATGTGACCTTATGAAAGATTGCATGGTGTAACCTTAGTCAGGGCTCTGTGTGTTCCAAAATTCCATTGCTATCAAATTTGCCAAAGAATTCAGTCCTTGCCACAGAATTTCAGCTGCCATTGAAAAAAAAATCCTGCCTTTGTGGTTGGAGAAAGAAACTTAGACATGTAAGGGAATGTAACTAATTGAGCAGGGTCTTCCTGGGATTGCAGAGATTAAACCAATAATCTTAAAAGCTGCATTCACCTGAAGGAGGACCCTGTAGAGAAGGTAATTTTATGGCTTTGGAATTAAACATTTTTCCAAGATACCATGGAATATGGTATTTACCCATTTTTCTGCAGCCAGGCACTTCTCTTTATTTCTTCTTTTCCTGCCCTAATGGAGTCTGCCTAGAGTTCTTTCTTGCTCTCCAGCTTTCCCCACAAAGATGAATTAACTGGATTACAGTGCATATTCCCTTCTCTTTGATGTAGCCTGAGCAGGAGGCTAATTTGCTGCCAGAGAGCAAGGGGGAGCCAGAAGAATAAGCTGAGAGTAGCTGATGGGAAAATAGGGAAGCAAGCAAGGTCCAGAGACCTGGAACCAGCTAAAAACTCCATGCTTCCCTGGCACATGTTGGAAGGAGGTTCTGAGCCACCTTGCCTGGATAACAAGACAGAGGCCTGTTGGCACTGGATTCACAACCCACCCCTGATACCCTGCTCTGGGCAAGCACAACCTTCAGACGGACCACTGCTCTGGTTGATAATAGGTGAATTTTACTGATACACTGATAGGAAATAAGAGCAATGCAGACAAAGCAACCAAAATGATTACAACATACATTACCCAAATTCCCCAGTGCCCAGAACATACACAATGTGAGTGGTATGTCTAGCCGGTACATAAACGCTACCTTTAGGTTCTTTGCTTGCATGTCTGACATCAGCAACCTTGGAAGTGAGGAGCCAATGCCAACTTGCTGTTTTGAAAACTCCTCATTTTGTACTCTTTCTCCTCCAATGACTTCATTTCTGGATATCGCTGATTGGTTTCCTTGGGGCCATCATGCTGTCCACATTCTGTTTTGTCAGCCTAAATCCTATCTTCATAAATCTATCACGTGCACACACCTTAATTTGGTCATTTAATTTGAAACCAGAAATCCCAAGGGTTTGGGTTTTTTTGCAAGTGGGCTCTGGAGCCAGGCCTATCTCTGTTATGAAAATAAGGTTTGAATGTTTTTAATTTCCCAGAATGTGCATGTCCATTGGCCTCAGACACCCTGTCTGACTTGAAAGCTGTGAAACAGTGCAACAAACAGGCTTTTAGAAATCAATTAACCCTTGCCATTCCCTTGAACCACTGTTCTAATACAATATCTATTTTACCTACAAGCCAATTCCTAAAAACAAACCTCTAAATATCATTTTCTAGCCCTCAAAGCCAAGATGCAGTACGTGAAGCCAGATAGCCTAGAGACCATAGCAAAAATCAACAATAATTGGACAATTCCATGTCACTGAGTATTCCAATGATGCATTCCAATAGTTGCACTTTTTCCTCTATGGTTGTGTACGTTGACAATCACTGCCATGAAAACTGATTGCATTGTGCTACACACCTACCCAGGCCTTAATTCTTATCCTTTATGCCTTTAAAAAGTCTCTTATTTTTCAGATGATGTATATTGCAAACTGGAATTTCTTATGCATCCAACATACTGAACTACAACGTTTTCAACCATGGTTACATTTCTAAAGTTATGAAATAACAATGACCTTGTAGAAAAGGCAGTTAAGAGGAGACATGTTCACAGCCTTTGAATATCTGAAGGGCTGCCATTAAGAAGAGGTAAAATACCTTTTGTCTGTTGCTGCAGAGACCGGGACAAACCAATGTCTTAAAATTGCAGCAAAGTAGGTTTAGACTGGATATCAGGAAAAACTTCTTCACCATTCCACAGTAAGGCAGTAGAATAGATTGCCTATGGACCTTGTGGGCTCTCCACCATTGAAGGTCCTTAAGAAAAAGTTGGACAAGCATTGGTCAGGGATGGTCTAGAAGTAGCTATGCCTATGCTCTACTATGGGTAAACGCTCGTGCTTCGGCACTTTGCTGGTTGCCATATGGGGCCTATAGCTATACATGTCAGGGCGGGGGTTTGGGGGAGTTGTTTTTTTTTTTCATCTTCCTCAGAAGCATTGGGTGTTGGCTGCAGCCAAGGCTGGAAATTTTGACTGGGACAT